TAGAAGTATATTTTATTAACATCCAAAGAAAATTAACTTTGAAGTAATAGCAAAATAACATTAATCTAAACAGGTTATCGCAACTATGTTTGGTCCAAATAGGTATTGCTTCGGAATAAGTGAATCATTATCTTTGAAGCTCCCTGAAAAAACGAACAAAATAAAGTCATGTTTTCTGGTCGACTGATGAAAGGTAATGAGTCTATTGTTGACCACATCATACTTCAGATTATGCTTGTTATTCTCTGATGATTCCAGCTGTCAAAATCATAAAGAAGGAGCGACATCTGTTCTAGAATTGTGATGTAAGGTGACCACGCCGCCTTGGAAACAATTTGCATGAATGTCTCTGTATCTGAAAACAAACATACAGTAATATAATAAAATCAAACAAACACTTAACATTAACGGAAGCTACAGTGAACAAGTTCATTTCACATGTTGTAACATGTGTTCCCACAAGTGTATGGCACATCAGATCCCGGATCATCGCCTCGTCAGGTTCCTGGTATGGAGCTGGGAAAGTTCCATGGAAAGTTGCCTTGACCTTGACCTTGACCCATCTGGCCAAGAATCATGCTCACCATGTTAAATTGATGCTTATTTGTCCCTTGTTGCATTCTCTCCTATGACTCTCGATTACTTTTTCATCTCTAGTTTTTTTTATTTCAAGCTCAATTTTTCTATTTTCAAGGTTGACATACTTATCTTCAATCTTCCCCGTTGCTATTCGTGAATCCAGACATTACAGCTGTCATGGCCACTTCAAGTTTGCTTTTCTTAGCTTTCTTGTTCCGTTTCTGTGAACTCTGACTTTGCTCATTATCTTTAGCTGAAAACAATGAGCGCTTTCGTGGTGGCTGAATCTTTGGATGAGCATCATCTTTGTCAAGGTTACCTGCACTGATTCCAGGTCTTGGCTCTTGCTCATGGTCAGAAGGAAGAGGGTTATCCCTTTTGTCAGCCTCGGTATCACCAGTAAACCCAGACACTTCTGCATCAGGACCAATCTCTGTATAACTAGAGACGTCAGTATCTATGTCATCATGGCTTTTATCTCTTGTCGAGCTTTCAATAATCTTCACAGGGGAGGACGCAGGTCAACATCCCAGTATTTCATCAAGTTTCTCAAAATGCTTGCAGAGTGAACTGCCTCTACCACTATTCTTTAGTTTTCCCTTACACATCCTGTAGCTTCCTTTGAGAGCGTGCAGTTTAACCTTACATTGTTCTGGTGTCTTTTGAAATCCATAGTCCTCAAGGGCTGAAGAAATAGCCTTTTAAATACTTGTATTGTTGGTTTTAGGATCATCGAGGCTTTCCTCCACATGTAACTCTTGCCAGATGTTCAGCAAGGCTTGTTGTGTTTCATCGTCTGACCAGGACGTGCCCCGCCTCTTTACCTTCTCTGCCATTTTTGAAGTCTGATCCACGGAGAAGCACTTTGCCTACAAATAAGTTTTATGGAGGAATAGATTTCTAGACATGTTTATTTTGCACACGTGTACAGTTATCATGCGTTCGCCAATTTGCTTACCATGCAAAGTTGCACATGTGTAAAAGTATATTTACACCTGTGTCAAATCAGATGCAAATTTACTCCTAGTGCAAATTTGTGCACGGTGTATAAATTGCGTCCGCGTGGACCAATTTGCACAAGTGTATTTTATTTGCATACGTATGTATATTTACATGGTGTGCAAATGGGTCCAAGCGAACGGGGCTTAAATAGTCGGGAGTAATTACTTTGAAAGTTTACATAACAACTGCTCAATAAGAAATTCCGAGAAACGGCAATATTACAATTACCGTTCTATTATCTGTATTTTTCGTCCGGACAGCCTAGTACTTTGTGCTTTGAGCACAGTCTTCAGTCAGGGCAGCTTCCAGCTTCCTTAATTCATGATAAGAATTACAGAGATAAAAGTAGGTTCAATGTCGATTTAAGTTTAGGTATGGCCAAGAGTTGTTGGTTTTTTTATTGATTTCTGAGTTGTTGACAACGTGCTGTCTGGCAGATGTCTATTATTATGGAAATTATTTTGTCGCTTTTGTTAACTGCTGAACAGTAGAGATATTGAATGGCATTATAATTATAGCTGTGTGACACCAGAACGATTTACAGACTTTCAGTAACAGTAGAGTCCTATGATTCGTTAAGGTGTGCACTATAACTGGTACAAAAAACTTTTGTGATTAGAGAGGTTGTATGGACATACTAGCGAGCTCACGATCATTTCAGAAAGTAAGATTACACTTTAAACCGAGACCATTGTGGCGATCCCGTTAATTACAGTTCAGCCTCATAAATACACAGAATACCCTATAATTTATGCAGCTACCTTGCAGTCAGACAGTCTATGAGAATGAATGAAAGCTGCGTGTTTTTCTTGGTTTCCAAGTACAAACTACATGAAAACGATTCAATGTTAAAAACACTGACACCATAGCAAATAGTACCTTGGCACCAAAACTAAACAATACCGTGATAATGTGAAGAAACTCATACCAGTGTACCAGCGAGTCTTTCAAACGGTTGCTCCCCTAGTGATGGGTACCAAGGGTTCCCATTCAGCCTTCGGTCCGTGTTTCATGTTACCCCAGCCAGTGGTCAACCAAATGAGCAGTGACCTTTTGCAAGCAGTCGTCTTAAGACGCAAGGGGACTTCAGGATCAGAATAGTCTAAAGAGAGCCGTAGGAGTCTTTAATGATAATACTTCCATCACTTAACATTAGAATGGCTAACCATTGACAAGGGTCAACTGTGAGTGAGTGATAATGGTGGTCCGATTAGTTGAAATAATCGAAGATTGGTCGCAGTGCCTAAACGACCAAGCAATCGATTGTGTTTTCTCATAATCGAACACAACCAATTTTGGAACACTTGTTTGCATCAACAATATTTTACACAAGGTTGGGTTTGTCTGTGTCATGAAATTTACATTTCATAAGCACTACAAGCTCGTTCCAAGTCATGATTGAATTGATCTTAAAGAATCCGGGAAATCTGTGTTCCTAACATACTAATCATCCTTTAAATATGCGAAATTTGCCAAAGGATTTAGTGCAATTTGCAAAAGACCCAAATTACTACATATTTTTTCTTATTTTTTTTGTGTGCATTAACAAAGATAACAGGAACATTGCATAAATGACGCAAACCAATTATTTTCGGTGATTGATCGGTTGTAATGAACCAATCATCAATTATGAGATTTTAACCAATTCCCAACACTAGTGAGTGAGTTATTATTTAACGTCACATTGGCAATACGTCAGCCACATGGTGACAGGAACAATTTATACATTTAAATGAATCAATTTAGAACATAACAACTGTCCTCAATGGACTGTACAACTACTTGAGTATGACGGATTTTGACTTAAAATTAGCTTTTGTCATGGAAAGGTATCACTATAGAGATTGATTGACTGAGTTTAGTTTTACGCCGCACTCAACAATATTACAGCTTTGTGGCGGCGGTCTGTAAATAATCGAGTCTGGACCAGACAATCCAGTGATCAACAGCATGAGCATCGATCACTATAGAGAACAATACAGAGTAAAAACGGGCCGTGGATCACCAACAACTGAAGATAGATCACCATACTACGGATCGGGACGTTCAGTACGAATACTGCCTGTATGGACCCTAATCAATCAAAGCTGTAAGATATAAACTAAATAATTAAACAAAAGCAGCAATATGAAAGTCGCAACCAAAAATATATCACTGCTAAGAGCAGTATTCATTGTACGAGCCCTACTATATAATATACACATGTGTTAATGAAACATTGTCGAAGTCCTTTTGGAAAAAAAGGAAAGTAGAATCAAGGGTATTACAAATAGGAAACACCTGTACAAGGAAATGTAGAAGCCACAAAATCTATTTTTGTCCCATTTTGTCAATACGGGAGCAATGCTGGTTAACAAATGAACAGTATTCTAATTGAATAAGGTGGGATGAGCAAACCGTTCTGATTGAGCTAGAAAGGAAGCCTTTATACGAGAAATTCTGAAAAAGGAGAAATGATTAGAGAAAGTAGATATCTATCACACAAACTTGACAGTCCAAATTTGTATAATTCACACGCAGACAGAATAGAAAACATGATTCAAATGGAAGAAAAAAAATTCACTTAAAATTTATGAAAACAGGTATAAATTGAGTTTTTCTTTTTTTCTAATGGAAACATCTTGGGGTACATTGATATATTAATAGATCATTCTGAAATGATACTTTAAGTCCTGTTTTCAACTCAGGTGTTATTACATGTATGCCAAAGATACAAAAAGATGCACCTGTTTGTCTGTATATCTAAACCATTATTCTCGTCTACTTTCTCAAGTTACTTGTATATATGTAGCACACTGTACTGAACTGATTAAAAGGAAAACAAGTTATATTCTCAAGCATGTCAGTTGCATGTATATCTTCTACATATACACTAATTTATATTTTAACACGACTAACGGGATCGGGTTGTCATGTTTGATACAGTCATCGTGTCCCAGTTGCGGAGGTCATGATGCCAGTCACTGGGTTGTCTGGCCCAGACTCGTATGTTTACAGGCCGTCGCCATATTGCAGGACTATTACTGCGTGCAGCACTAAACGACAAACAAATCGACATCGGGCGTATGGATGGCGGATACACATAATAACAAACGCATTTGCTGAGTACTGCGTAAAATATTGATTCATTATTATGGTTTTACAGCCATCTGTTGACTGACAACATAAACTATTTAATGGTATAATACTGTGAAGATGACACCCTTACAACTTTAATGCCAGAACAAGTGTGACATCGTGAGTGATGAGAAAGATATTCCTGCAGTCCTATCAGATGTATTGATCTTAAAATTGCACATGTCTGTATGATCTTTCATTGGGTGTTTTCTTTCAGTGACGTATGCATCAAAACAGGATCTGTAAGGGGCTATATAAGTCGCCCAAACTCCTTGTGTAGGCTATCAACTACAAGGAACAACATGGCCGGACTTAGCTGCGTATTGGTATGTAGAATTGCTTTGTAGAATGTTTTTTTCAAATGTTAGAGTTTTGACCACAATCCTTCATAATTTCTATTCAACTTAGCAATCTGAATCAAGCAACTGATTAGTAATGTTTGTTTGAATCCATAATTACAGCAACAGGTGAAACAACTAGTTTTGAAGAGTATATAAAGGAATGTAATGATCATGATGGCTTTGGGGCAGCCCAGTGGGTAAAGCGCTCGCTTGTCTCGACGACGACCCGGGTTCGAATTTATATGGGTGCAATGTGTGAAGCCCATTTCTGATATGTCCCGCCGAAATATGTATTTTGATTTATTTTGTTACAGTTCGCATAAAAAAAGCAGCCTCACTAATCACTTCTACTGTTAACCGTTATCAGTGAAGATGTCTTGTACTAACATTTACTTTAAAACCAAACACAGCGAACTGCGTTTATAACGAACTGACGGTTTTACGGTTATGTCGAACTCATATTAGCCGTCCCTTTGAAGTCGTTGTAACCGTAGTTTACAATCCATTCACTATTTGTTCGCAGGCAATTCTAGTGCTGACTACGGTGGTTTCCGTAACTCATTCAAATGAACTACCAACCTCTTGTGCTGTGAGTATGAACCTGATAGCCCAAATGCAGTAAACGACGTTTCTAACGAGCAATAGGTTTATAGAGAACAAACATGCCCCTACCACTTACTAAAACGAACTAGAACTGGGATGAATATGTGATTCCCATGCATGACCAGCAGAACCAACTGAACCGACAACGATCTTTAGATTACTGACGGTTCTGTCCCAGAAATGAGAGAATTTACACAACGCAGATAGAAATAAGGTACAATTTAAATCTGACCCCTCTTGCCATTCTATTTTGAACCAGGAAACATCCGGGTTAGTTTGTCGTACTTGTAAGAGGAGACTAAGGGGATCGGGTGGTTAGACGCGCCCACTTGGTTGACAAAGTCACCGTATCACAGTTGTGTAAATCGATGCTCATATGCATGATGTTGATCACTGGATTGTCTGGTCCAGACTCGAGTATTTACAGACCGTCGTCATTTAGCTGGAATATTGCTGAATGTAACAACAACAACAACAAAAGAGGAAGAAGAAAATAAACTGTAATGTTGACGTTTTAATAAAACAAAACCCAGTTTCTAACTGAAATCAAATATTCAATGTTGAATTTCCATCTTCAACACCTGCAAAAATGTGTCTACAGCCGTAAGGAAACTGAAAGGAAAACGGTCCTTTTTTTCTGTCCATATAGGCGGTCCTTTGTGGAGAAGGAACTGTCTGCAAATTACAGAACGTTGACTGTGTCAAGGCGCCATGTCCAAGATGTATTCCAAAAAGTGAGTAACGCGATGGAGGTTGTAAATAAAATACAGTAGGCTACTATACGTTTATAATGAACACACTCATAGCGAACTGACGGATATAACGAACTTATTTTTCCCCTTCACTTGCTGTATATTTAAGTCGAGATGCGTGTGACGAACTACGGTTAAGGCGAACTAAAATGAGCGATCCTTTGAGTTCCTTGGATCATTTGAAGTCAAGGAAAGAAAATATCCTATGATTTCTGAACCTAGACAAGAACATCAGAACTTCAAGTAATTTTTGATGTTCACTCAGTTAGATTCCACCAACCTGAGAGTAAATGGGAAAGGTTGTCTGCAGTTTGTTACACGACATGTATGAAAGCATTTGGAGTTTAACTCAAAAGTGAAGCAGTATATTGTTTCCATTCATCTAAACCATACAGGTAGACTAACAGTAACATGTAGACCCAGAAATAAGGCATTATATACTGAACATCATTGAAAACGCACCACCTGTATTAGTTTGGATTTCCAAGAGCATAAATGAGCAATCGGTGTAAATTTTACATACTTTTGTAGTCCAATGATTGGTAAAGAAAAGAAACAAGAACCAATCCAGCAGAACAGTGAAGTTTTAATTCAGCTGACCATGAAAGAAAGATTGAGTCAAATTGGAAAGTCAGTAACGTGTATGACCACCGTTAGCAGCAACACAAGCTGTGCAACGTCTCCTCATTGAACTGATAAGTCCCTGAATAATGTTTTGAGGCAATGCATTCCACTCTTGTTGTAAGGCATTCTCAAGTTCCCCAAGGTTGTTGATCTGTGGGCGACGTTAGAGGCGTCGGCCGATGTAATCCCACAAGTGTTCAATGGGTGACAAATCTGGTGACAATGCAGGCCGTGGCAGTAGAGGAATGTTGTTGTTTGCCAGAAACTGTTGCAACACGTGCAGTGTGCGCTTGAGCATTGTCCTGCTGGCATATGTGAGATCTTGATGTTGGTTAAAGAAGGGAACGACTTTGTTCTGAAGAATGGGGTCAAGGTAGTAAAGGGCATTCACTCTGCCACGACAAACTACCAGAGCGGTTTTGTGATGATAACTGATCCCTCCCCACACCATAATGCTGACTCCACCCCACCGATCTGTTTCCACAACACAGTCCTGACGGTAACGTTCTACCCGTCGACACCATACCTGTAGACGCCCGTCAGAATTTCGCAAGTGAAAACGTGACTCGTCGGAGAAAACAACACCATGCCAACGTCGTAACAACCACAAACGATGCTGTTCAGCCCATCGTCGGCGTTCACGACGATGTCTATCAGTCAGGATGGGGCCAACATAAGGGCGTCGACACCGTAATCCTGCCGCACGGAGACGGCGTCGGACGGTGGAAGCACTGATCAAAACACGTCGGCCTTGGACAGCGTTGGCGGTTCTGGCAGCCGGCAACGTACGGTCCCGAATATGGCGCCGAACAATGTCTCGATCTTGGCGAGGGGTGGTAACAAGTGCCTGGCCAGGACGTTGGCGGTCCCTGGTAGTTCCTGTTTGTTGGTACCTGTTGGCAAGTCTTATGATGGTGGAATGATGGCAACCAAATCGTCTGGCAATTATCCTGCTTGATGTGCCAACCTGCAACATGCCCAACGCCCGTTCTTGTTCCTCTGGTGACAATCTTGGCATTGCAAAATAAACTTTACTTGCGGAGGTACAGCTAAAATGAGAACGGTTTTTTGCCGACGGCCGTTTATACCCCTAATCAGCATGTTTTACGCATGCAATTTGTGCTTTTCGTGTGTGTTGTGTATGAATTTTGTTGTTGTCATGTGATGTGTTCCATGATGTGTTCGGGCAATCCGTTCTTTCCTGTACAGCATTATTTATTGTCTTTTGTGTTATTCACAACATTTCCAACGTTCATTTTCACTCTCAAAACAATCCTCTTGCCATATTTCAAAATTTACAGGTGGTGCGTTTTCAATGATGTTCAGTATATATCCACAAAAGAAACATCAAATTCAAATGGCGCGCAGATCAATTAATTTTCTATATGGAGACAATATAGACTTGCCAAACCATGCTAGATTTGAGTTGGATTACTTTTTGAATATATTTCCTGGGGTATTGGGATACAGGGATAGAGGCCAATGACAGATATACCACAGTCCACCTTCTTTACAGAATAGCTTTACGTTCTTGACAAATGTATTTACACTGGATAACGTCCCTGTTTTAGATAAACCAGGATCATGCCCAGTGCCGAAACCAGACCAATTCGGTATCTCTATAGCGGAATGCTCCACTGATGTTGACTGTGAGGGCGACCTGAAGTGTTGCGGAAGCTGCCCAAAGGAATGTACTACTCCGGTCACTCCCATAGACTTGCCAGGCCCCAATTACTGACTTCCCTGGTAAATTAAAGTATTGTGGAGATGTGTCAACCCATTCCATTATCCTACCAAAGAATGAGGTGCTGATAAATAAACCTAATGCAGTCAACTATGAGCCAGTGTTGTCATTTTTTGTCGCATTACAGAGCTGGACTACTCAAACAGCTATTGCTGATGGTTAAGGAAATGTTTCTGTGACTTTTGTTGCAGAAGAAACAGTGCAGGCAGTTAAAAATTATATATCCCCTGTGGTCTTTATTCCTCTTGGTATTGAACAACAATGGCTTTGCCTTTTCATTGAATAGCAAGCAAGCAGGCAGATGTGATAACTTATGACATCAATTTGTTTCATTTACATGTTGTCACGAGTGCCTATGCTGAGAATATGTGCATATATCACACTACACGAAATGTTGTATTTCCATGGACTTACTGTTGTTTGAAATTAGGTTTTGGAATTGTTGGATTTTATGTCCATAGGCGACTTACCCAAATGTTTTGAGAAACAAGAGGTTTTAAGTGACAAACATGATATTGGCATGTGCAACTATGTCTTTTTGTGTCAGGTGTTTGGAATGTAAGATCCTAAGTAGAAGTATTTACATGTATTCATATCGGTGCTTGGAAATAACGGAATGAACGTATTTTATGTGTATTTTATACAGGTCTGAAATAATGGAGACAAAACTACCATGTCTCAACTGGTTCAAGGGTTTGAAAGAGATGCAAATGACAGGATTATTTCCATATATTCTAAACATGACAAAATGACATTGGGAATGTTTTTCTGTCACACTTCATAACTCTTGAGATCAAGATGTTTGAGTTTATTGGGCATGCTTACATATTATCGACAGTGTTTGTGTACAGTGTAACCTGTTATAAAAAAAGTGCTGAGTCATTGTGGTGATTTTAGGGTATTGGCGCTTTTCATTAACAGATGCTTTGTTCTGAATCTGATGTATGTACCTATCAAATGTCCTCAGTCATAATATCAGTAACACGTACAACAAGCGTACTGGTTTGCTTCGTTTTTTATCACAAATTACCCGTGAAGGTCCGGGTTAGAATATTGATCTTCAGTAACCCATGCTTGTAGTAAGAAGCGTCTAACGGGATCGGGTGGTCAGGCTCGCTGACTTGTCATTGGTTCCCAATTACGCATATCGATGCTCATGCTGTTGATCACTGGATTGTCTGGTCCAGACTCGATTATTTACACACTGCCGCAATATAGCTGGAATATTGCTGAGTGCGGCGTAAAACTAAAGTCACTCACTCACTCTTATCACACATGTAACTTGCAACATCCTGACCCTATTTACCCATTACTGCGTCATGGTATCTCAGTTGGCTAGCACTATAAAACCAGCTGAAGTCTGGGCTAGTACAAGTAGCCGCACATACACATACACGCGCATGCACGTCGTCATATGAGCGAAATATTCTCAAACATAATTTCACCTCACCCCTATTTATTTACCCGGGTACACAATATCTTACAGTATCAGAGTGACGGCTACTGTGTCACACCGGTGGGGCAGGGTGACCGCGACTCTCCTCGAACAGCTGTCTGATGATTGTTGATTATTTTATTCATACCCATGAGGTTGACAATGTGCAGTCTGGCAGATATCGATTATGATTATGATAAAGATTTTGTCGTTTTTGTGACGATGTATCCTCTGCCGACCATCATGGAAGGGCAAATTGAATCTGCTTTCATATGTGAAGAGGCCATGATGTTTGTCCATCTCAAACGCGCGCGTCTTCCTGTGACGTGGTGTTAGTGGTGAAGGAACTGCAAGTCGCCTACAACGGAGTCCGGCTGGCCTTAAACGTCGACGAACGTTATAACCGTACATTGTTAACATTGAAGTGCTCTGTCTGAAGATCTCCTGCGTTAAGGAATCTGTTACGTAACACATGTTAATATTGTGCTTATCATCTCGGACTGTTGTGACTCTGGGGCGACCTGGTCGACGTGCATATTCCCATTGGCTTGAAATCTCTGCCACTGTCTACTAATAGGCGCTGAGTTTGACCAGATTTCAAAAGTCCTATAGCCTAACCCCTTTCGTCAAGTGTCAAAAGCGTCTCATTATAAGCTGCGATTTCAAACAGATACCGAAACAGTGAACAACAGTGAAAAAGCACCAATGCATGTGTATTATCCTCCACTTTCCATGGATAGAGCGACTTGCACGTGCATCATTAAGTGGCAGGTGGATGTCCATATTGACAATTTGAATAAAACATGTGCCATTTGTAACAGAATATATCGGACATTAAAGAACGTAATAATGACATTTCAACGTACTGATGTGTTTTTCCATACTGTTAAGAAAGTTTGTAAAACATTCCGTTGTATATATTTCAAACAAGAACGAAGATTTTACAACTTTTAAGAAATAGTGCTACCAATAGCTTGACCCTTCATTAATGACGCCGAGAATAGTTTATGTACAGTCTAACTGATACGTACGGCACAAGAAGTAGGTGGTTGGAAGGAAGCATTGCGGAAACCAGTGTAGCGAGCAACGGAATTGCCTGCAAATATAAAGTAAGTGAATATGGATGAGTGAGTGGTGAGTAGGTGGGTGGGCGGGTGAGTGAGTGGGTGGTTGGTTGGTTGGTTGGTTGGTTGGGTGGTTGTGTGGTTGTTGTTTAACGTCGTTTAACACATGTTAATATTGTGCTTATCATCTCGGACTGTTGTGACTCTGGGGCGACCTGGTCGACGTGCATATTCCCATTGGCTTGAAATCTCTGCCACTGTCTACTAATAGCCGCTGAGTTTGACCAGATTTCAAAAGTCCTATAGCCTAACCCCTTTCGTCAAGTGTTAAAAGCGTCTCATTTTAAGCTGCGATTTCAAACAGGTACCGAAACAATGAACAACAGTGAAAAAGCATCAATGCATGTGTATTATCCTCCACTTTCCATGGATACGTGCACATCATGAAATGGCAGGTGGATGTCCATACTGACAATTTGATCAAAGAATGTGCCATTTGTAACAGACGTTAAAAAAAGCATTATAACATTTCAACGGCCTGGTGTCTTTTTCCATACTGTTAAGAAAGTGTGTAAAACATTCAGTTGTATATATTTCAAACAAAAATGAAGATATTACAACTTTTGAGAAATAGTGTTACCAATAGCTTGACCTTCCATTAATGACGCCGAGTAAAACATTACCTTTATATCCAAATATATCTAATGCAAAAATACTATGTCTGCACATTCGTATAGTGTTGCAGAATGATTGTGTAGACGAAGTATATCCGCCTCCACATGAGCTACTCAATGAAATCCATAATCAAAACAAAACAAGAAGACAAAGTCATCAATATCCCCCCGCAATGGCAAAATACTCTTCATGAAAATGTCTGCGAGTGATTATGTCAAATGTTTTGGTGAGTATATAGAAAAGTAGAAGGAGAGTATTGAAAGGTTTTCCAAAACTACCAAAAGGCATCAGTACACCACCAGATGTATGTATGTGCCAAGTTTGGTGAAGAAACATTGAACGGTTTTAGAGTTCTGCTCCGGAAAAGAGCACTACCACCAATTTCAGTATAAGTCAAACTTGTTGCCATGGAAATGCCAAAAATATTTTATTCAGAATACCAAAACTACCAAAAGGCACCAGTACACCACCAGATCTATCTATGTGCCAAGTTTGGTGAAGAAATATTGAACGGTTTTAGAGTTATGCTCCGGAAAAGATGTGCACGGACGGACGCACGCACGGACGGAGTCCATTTTAATACCCCCCGCAAAACGCGTTGCGGGGGGATAATGGTGATAGTTTGTTAAGTAACTTTTTTTATTTTGGAGACAAACATTATGAAACTTTTTCCAGAGTTGGTCTGATGTTTTCATTACATTCTTCTTTGGAATGAATGCTTGATCATGAACCGATTTTGAGTTAGATTGTGATTCATTGCTACCATTTTGACCCAAACAGACTATAGCTCAATGACAATATACATTCCGCGGCACCCGAGCAGCAGTTTACACTGGAAAGTCTAAAAAACAGTGTGTGTGTGTGTGTGTGCGCGCGCGCGTGCATGCGTACGTGCGTGTGTGTAATACATGCGCCATGTAAGAGCTTTCAAAGCAACAAAAGTAAATACCAAACTTCAAATTTTAAACTAGCAAATCTACACCCAAAACCACTCACAAAAACTGAAAAAAATGCCACAAATCTAAAACTATTGACAGGGCGATAACCAAATTCCAAACAGGTCGTATAACATTAAATTCCCATGCACATAAAAATAAATACAAAAAACAGACAAATGCAGACACTGCAACGAAACAGAAACGCCTGAACACGTCCTACTACCCAAAATGGTGCTACACTGGACACAAACACACACCTAACACTTATAAACCTCAAGTGACGTCAATCTATTATCTCGCCGGCACCCGTGAACAGCCACCTCCTCGTGGTGGGTGCTAAGCGCTCTTCGACCCCCCGATGTGGACCCGGGGGTATATTTGGTCCACCAACCCGTTTGCCGTTGGTTGCGCGGTGGAGGACGGGAGGCTGGTGGTTGAGGGCACTGGAACCAGGACCAGGTGTTCCTGTTGCCCAACGCACCACTTCGCCCCTTACTTCACCTAGACGGGTGGTTGAATGGGCCCGGTTCAATCAATCGGCTGGTCACGCCAGGCCCTGTGCATAGTGAATATTATTGCTCATATTTTATATATTATCTTGGTCTTGGCTATTCTAAATTATTCATGATATTCTATTGCCTAGAGTCCTATGCCAGAAGGCGGTGGCTCAAGGGCCAATCTGGCTTTACTGACCTCCGGGTTCTAATTGTCTTCAGACAACTGTCATGGGCGGAACCAGCCTGACTTTTATTCTGTTTGACAATATTAGCTTCCTGTGTCTGTATTGCTTGAGTATAACATCCCTGTAACCCTGGTGTTTCGTAGTCGGTTTCCACTTCGACACCGTCCTTGTTGACACTCCATGGTGGGTGAGGAGCAGGGATGTTGAATTTACATTCTTCATTATGGCTACCCAACAACCCTCTGGTTCTCGTTCCAAATCAAAGAGAAAATATATCGATTTAGACTTTGTCTCGTCTTCTG